GCCCGAGCTGGCCTGTCTGCAGTCCCTCCTCTTCGACGAGGAGCGGGGCCCCGCAGGTGGGCAGGCGGGGCTGGGGAGGGGGGAGGTCTGCCGGTCCGCCCCTCCGGCCCCGGCCGGGGGAGAGGGCTTGGGGCGCCCCCGCTCAGGCCCTGTCCCCCCCTTCCTTCCGCTGTAGAGCTGGCCAGGATGTACAAAAACGAAGGGAACGAGTACTTCAGGGAGAGGGACTACGGGAGAGCTGTCATCGCCTACACCGAGGGGCTGAAAAAGAAATGCGAGGACCCGGAGCTGGACGCCGTGCTGCACACAAACCGAGGGGCCGCGCAGTTTTACCTGGGTAATGAGGTGTGCGCCATCCTGCCTCCGACAGGGCTGGGAAGGGGGCTCTGCGGTCCAGAGTTCCTTTTCCTCCCCATTTTGGGTTTCCTTTTTGTTCACTTTTTTTTGTGATACAGCATACTAAATAGCTTATTCATGAGAAAAAGACACCTTGAACCCTGAAGACCTGGCTCACTTCGGAGCGCGGCTGCGTGCAGGGTTTGTGCTTTGTTCGTTGCAGCTATTACCAGCTGCTCAAGCCTTGGCTCCAGGAGAGGGCAAAGCCAGTGGGTTTTGATGCTGAACAGATTCGCGGGGCGATTGGAACTACAGGCGGATGCCCTGGCCTTCAAAATCTGTTGAAGCAACACATTCTATCACTCCTTCCTGGCCATGTGCTCCTCAAGCTACCACCCATCCTACCAACAGCATCCGTGCAGCAGGGAAGGTGTTCTTGGCCTTTTAATGCTGTTGTGTGTTGCAGTTGGGAAATGGTTTGCTCACAGTCACATTACTTACCTCTCACCCGTCTGATGGATTCCTGTCCTTTCACTTCTTGCTCTTAGTTTGTTCTTTCTTCATCCACTCGCCTCGCAGTGATTGTAGAAACAGTGAATTACATTCTCTGCATAAGCTATTTTGTCACCTTGGGATCTTTTTGGATTTTAAATATAAATGAAAGGTTCTGAGCAGTGTTGCTTGCTTTATAGGTAACTACCGTTCTGCTCTCAATGATGCCATCCAAGCAAAAAAGTTAAAGCCCACCCACCTCAAAGCAATCATAAGAGGTAAGAGTTAAAGCATGTGTTACTGCAGGGAGCGCAAGGAACATCGTTTCAAAACAGCTTTGAATATGTTAGTTTTACTGGTTACGCTGTTACTGTTAACAAGCCCTGGAATGGACTGTTATTAGATGTTGCTTTTGTTCACCTTGTGTTTCTGTGTGTTAAATAACTGTTTATAAACCTTAAATTACTGTGAATGTGCATCATGCTTTGTTTCCAGACAGCATTCATTTCAGAAAAGGAAAGCAGTTACTGTACCAGATCTCTTCTCTTGTTTTGCTCTTACTCTTTCTCCCAGAAACAGAGCTCTACATTTTGGTTTGGATTTTCAATCAAAACACTGTGGTTTTGCTCCTCAGCTTCCACATCTGTCAAAGAGGCATGGGACCTGTTTCTACAGAACATAGCATGACTTTTGCTGCTTTCCACAGTACTCGTTTTTTGGGGTGGTTTTTTCAGCATTTCTCACTCCATGGAAATCACCACTTTATTTTTCCTTATGAGACAAATACCGAAATGTTAATTATAATGATAAAATTTTGCTTGTAACAACCACTTCTAGCATCATTCTGCTGATTTCTGTGAGCAAATGATACAAGAACTGCTGAAATATTTTAGATTTTCTTCTCAGCTGACCTGCTGGAAGTCTACGAGTGAATGTGACCCTGCAAGACAATAGTGTGTGCTGCTGTATATGCCTCTTGAAAGCACTAGGACTAATGCTGTCTTTATAACCACCACTTTGTGTAGTAGTTGTATACTGACTTCAATACTAGAAACTTAAAATCTTAATCCTTCCAGGAGCTCTCTGTCACATGGAGCTAAAGAATTTCTCTGAAGCAATAGCATGGTGTGAGGAGGGCTTGCGAATAGATTCAAAAGAGAAAAAGCTTGTGGAAATGAGAGCTAAAGCTGACAAATTAAAGGTAAATATTAAGGCAGTCTAGCATCTACAACGCTTGTTGCCTGCTTTGTGTCAAGAAGCACTTTGGGATCTTTGGTTGAAGAGTGCTCCATACAAGTTTCTATGTAGTATAATATCCCCAAACAGAATGGAGTGGTGGTTCCGCGTCGTGTGTGTTGTTGAGATGTGTAGGGGAGAGAGCTGGAGGAGACCCTTCTGGAGATCTGAACTGATTTCTCCACTCATTGGCAGGGTAGAGCAGTGATGGGCACTGACTTGCTGTGTGTGATCATGGTGCAACCTTTTCTTACATGTAGCGAGCTGAGGAGCGGGATGCAAGGAAAGCAAAAGTGATGGAGAAGAAAGAGCAGCGTCAAAAGGAAATTTTGCTTGCAGCAATAAAGGTGGGTCGGTGAGGGGGCTTGGTTTTGTGTGGTTTGTTTTGTTGTTTGTTGGGGTTTTTTTAAGAGCTCTCTTGTTTGTCTCTAAGAGGTTCTCATACACAGGCTTTTGAGGGCTAGAGCCGAAAAACTGAGTTAAAACCATGATTCTCCTTATCTGCGTGGCTCTAGCCCCAGCTCCCAGGTTTCCATATTTCAGGTAACAACTAATGCAAAATACAAACCCGGTGTTAGGAGATGGACTGAGCACCCAAGAGAGTGCTCTGGCTGCTGGGCTGTAGCGTCGCACTGGCCCAATGAACGTTGCTTCCTTTGCTGCCAATGGGCATTACTTCAGTGGAAGGATAGAAGACAACCATCCAGTGGGGTGGAGGAGAGAATCAATCCTGGATCCTCTCCTTCCTCAGCAAATGTTTGGGCTACGTTAAAATATTTTGGGCTATTACATAAATCCGATCTCCTCTTCTGCAGTTGTCTTTCCAAAGACAAGAGCGAGCTTTGGGACCTAGGATCAGGTCCCAGAGAACAGGATTTCAGATGCGTCCCTTTCCCCATGTTTTCTCAGGCTCTTCTCTTGGTATGCGGGCTCCTCTGGGTTCCTACCTCTCCTCATCCGTTTTATGAGGAGTCTGGGTGTCTGGCTGAGGTTCTGAATTCTACTGGGAAGACGAGTCCTCCGAGTCTGATGCTGTAGGAAGGCTTTTGATGGCATGTTTAAGAGCTGACTCATTAATAATAAGAATGACACAATTTGTCCTTTTACCGACCGCTAATTTTTTGCTCTTATTCTCCCCACCATACCTGTTTGGTTTTTGGTTGGTTTATTTTTTTTTCCTTCCTCCCCTCCAGGAAAGAAATATCAAGCTGGTTTTTGAGCCTTCAAATGAAGAAGAGGAAATATCAGATGGCCTGGCTGAGATATCCTTAGATGGGTTCCACTCTG